GTAAAGACCCTTCCAACTGTTAACTTCATTGCCTGCAGGTCACTACTGCAGATTTAAGATTATATTAATTATCTTTATACAGATTATATATTTTTATATATATGTTAAATTATTAATTAACTTTTTCTACTGATTTACTGATTATACACAAAAAAGATATTTACAAGAAGTTTTTATATTTTTTTACTAAGAAAACCTTAATACTTTTCTTAAACTAAGTTCAAAAATCGCTATTACACTTCCCCTTTCTCTTATAAACATTTTTCTTTGTACAAAAACATGACTTTTATTGACTCAAGCCATAAAACATCTTTCTTATCAATGGCAAGAAAGTTCTAAAAAAAAGAAGAACTAAAGTGCTTTGATTCTTCTACCCAGTAGAGAAATGTCACAGAACTGTATTTATAATAAGAAACTTTTTAAAACATATCAACCTACTCTTTTGTTATAATATTAGTTTTAATAGTGCTTATTTTTAATTCTTTCTAGAGAAATTTGCTTATCTTATTTTGATCTTGAATTTTGAATAGCACAAAGTTTCTCGCATAATAATTGGACAGAAGAATATATGTCAATGAAAGAATATAAACAAGTTTCTATTGGTTATTTCACATATCTCAAATATATTTTTTCAATCTCATAAAAACCTGAGATTCACTATAATTTATATGTTGTGACATGGATAGATACAGAACATCACTTCATTTATGTAGCATTTCAACTGACAGAGTCTATTCAATTACAATAAAGATTACAAGATATTATAACTATTTTTAAAGTAGCAGTCACCTATCTCTGGTTATCAGATAGGTTCTTTTCAGTTCTCTTGAATAGGTAAAGATTCAACTTATCAATTCTTGTGATAAAATTAGATAGTTTTTCTATCAGGTATAGATAATAGGAAAAATTTTTTTTCTTTAAAAGATTGCGTCTCATCTAACATATATATTAAAGAAATTTAGAAGTATCAATAAATCTTTTTTCTCAGTATGCAAATTAGATTGATTCAAATAAGTTATCTCAATAACAAGCTATTCAGTGAATAGAATTTTTAGGATATCATAATATAGATACTAAAAGTAGCTAAAAAACAGACAATATGCCCTTAACTGAAGAAGCCCTTGAAGAGTAACCAGCTTATAGTATTGAAGTATTAATAGTAGTATATAATCCTAATAATCAAAAATTCTAGAAATGTTTTTATTGGATATTATATTTTCTTGTATATATAAACTTTATTAAATCTTTGAAAATTTTAATAAAACAAGGCTAAGTTGCTATTTCAAAAAAAAAAAAAAAAATTATATATATGTAGATAATAATAATCTATTATAATTGATCTAATTAAGCTAAGTTATACTTTAAAAGTGAATAGACTTAGCTAAAGATTAAATGGTTAAATACTTAGTTATTAATAGTTATATTAGTATAGTTCATTTTTTAATCTTATATTTAATTATATTTTAATTATTATGAAACTAATATATACCTTAATATTAAATCCTCAAGAATTATTTTATTTTAATTATCTAAATACCTTAATACTTTTCATTTAAACCTCAGAAGAAATTTCTATTCTCTTTGTTATCATCTATAGTATTATAGATGAGTCTATATAGCTGATCCTTTATTAAACAAGTATTTGATTGAGATATTTCAAGCTAGAATAGTTATCGAGGACAAGAAGTCTTGAGATATTTATAGTGAATTAGATCAGAAACCTTTTTTTATACAATTCTTTGGATAGTACAACCATAAGTTTTAGCTTCTACTCAAAAAATGATTCGAAGTCTTATTTTTCTATAATCTAATTTGATTGAAGCTTATTTCAAATAATTGAGTATAATTTTTATAAAATAACTAGTAAACCTGATTAGAAAGAATATTAATTATTTGATTTTTAAGTAGTATTGAACTATAGATCAAGTGATTGTAATCTAAAAACACTACCACTGTATTATTGATCCACAGGTCTAATTTTTATATATAATATAACTGGATTAATTACTAATTATATATAAATTTATTAAATATAAAAGGATAAAAAAAAACTTATAATTGCTTTTTATATATATATAGACCTGTGGGTCAATAGCGCAGTGGTAGTGCTCTCAGGTCTCCATGCACTGCTTCCAAGTTCAATACCACTGTGAGACAGTACTACCTAAGCCTAGATGGTACAAAAAGATCATATCTATCCCATAATGATAATCACTGCCACCTCTGGTCAAGATCCCGTCTGATTACGGGATAATCAAAAGATCATAAGATGCTTCAGCCGGTTTTAGTGCTGAAGTCATCTCATCACAAGACAGGTTTTTACAAGCTCCTGCAAATAGATTGAAGATCTGCATATCATAATTTAAGGAGGCTAGTAGAGCCTAGGTACATTAGTTAGAAGAGGGTCTCTATCAAATCAACATCTATCCAAGACTTCATGTAGTCATTCCATAGGCAGGCTGTAATAAGTCATGTAAAAAGAGTACTCTGGTGGGATGAGATGACATCTAAGACTCCACGTAGGTATTTCGTAAGCATACTGTAATAAGTATTATAAAAAGAATATTTGGCAGAATGAGATATGAAAGGGGTCCTGTATTATAGACTCCATATCTATAGAAATAAGAGTAAGGGAAGGGTAACATAGATATAAGTAGGGGGGTAGTAGGGTTTCTTTGGCAACAAGCCATGATGGAGCTTAAGTGATCAATCAGGTTTCTTTGATATAATAGTGGAGTATATATAGCTTGCATATAGTTAGCAGTAAATATTGATTATAGAATTACTCTGTATATTAGTAGCTATATATGTAAGGCTATTCTATTGACTTCAATAAAACTGAGCTTCATTATCCTGTTAAATATATATATATATATATATATATATATATAACTAGTTTTTCATAAATCAATTCTTTACTAATTAATAAAATTATAAAATTATAATGTTTTATTAATATTAATTTCAATGATTATAGTAATAAAAAGAAGTTTAAATAATAATAATAACAATTTATAATTTTATAATTTATAAATACAATCTAAAACTCCTTTTACTGATCCTTTGATTATACTGTATATAAAAAAAATATTTACAAGAAGTTTTTTCATATTTTTATTAATAAAATCTTAATACTTTTATTAAAACAACTTGAAGTATAATTTCAAAAGTCATTTTTATATTTTTTCCTTTATTTATAAATTACTTCATTCAAAAACTTGACTTTTAATAGCTAAAAAAAGTCAAGTAATATTTTTGATATCAATAATAAAAAAGTTTTCAAAGAAAGAAAAACTAACTGTAAAGTATTTAAAAAACCTTAAAAAAAATAATAATAAAGATTTTATAATAATAAAAAAACTTATTTTTTTCTTTTTTGAATATTTTAATTCTTTTAAAGCTTCTATTTTTATAGTTTTTTGAAAAATTTTACCTATTTCAATTTGATTCTAAATTTTGAATAGCACAAATTTTTATAAAAAATAATTGACTATATAAAGTACTGTATATTAGTTTATAAAATATAAACAAATCTTTATTATCTATATTAATATATTTTGATAATATTAATAGTAATTAAAAAAATTTTTTAAAAATTTTTTTCTTCAAAAGTTTTAAGTCTTTATAAAAGATATCTTGATATTAAAAAGTAAGAAATAAATAATATGGATTGCAAATTTTCATTCTTTTTAAGTTTATTAGATGATAAAAAAATTTTTCTGGCTAGAAATCAGGATCTTTATATTTTTTTAAGCTATTTCAATTTGATACTTACTTAAATAATAGATTTAATTAAATTGATTTATTTATTACTACAGATAATAATAAAGAAGATTTTTTTTGAGATTTAAAAAGAATATTCTAATTAGATAAATATCTTTTGAAAAAAAATTATTCAATTAACAAACTTTTTTAAAGAAGCTTAAATTGTATTTTTTTCTTTTTTCTTTATTAACTTAGCAATTTATAATTTTTAATAATTTACAGTAATAATTATTAACAATGAATCTAGTAAATAAAGGTTTATATCAATTTCATTGTGAAGTAAAATATTGTTTTTTAAACTTGATTTAAAATATTTTGATGGAATATTAAGTTAATTATTTTGTATAATATTATAAATAATATATAAATTTTTCAATAAATATTAAGCTATATAAAATGATTATGAATTAAAATAATAATAATAATAATAATAATAATAATAATAATAATTTATAAATGGCTTCATTATTTAATAAAAAAATAATTAAAAGATATAAAAATTAATAAATTTTAATGCTTTTAAATAATTGTCTAAATTATAAAATAACAAGTATAACTCTTTCAAATATTGATATTTATTTTTTTTTCTTTGAATACAATTGCTAAATTTTGATTAATGAATATAAAAATAATTAATTTTTTTATAAAACATTATTATAGTTTACATAATAAATATATTTTAAATAAAGTTCAAAATAAAAATAATATAACTAACTTAAGTAATGGATTATATTAAAAGTTAGAATAAAATTATATTAGCAATAATTAATAATTGTTGAAATTATACTAATATTGTTTCATTTAATATTAATATTGAATTAAATAATATTTTTTATAATAACAAATCATTAAATAAAGAACTTATAGATTTAAATTTGTCTAATAGTATGTCAATTATTATCGGTAAATGGAAGTGCAGTATGTATATAGGATTTAATAAGACATTACATCATAAACGACGATCTTATTATGATAAAGAGAATTCGTATAAAAAAAAAATAAATTTATGTATAATAGTTTTGTTTCGGAAATCAAAAGGTTCAATTTCTGCTTAATTCTGCTTATAAAAACCCTTTTGCTTTTTCCCACAACTTGATTGGTTAATCTGGTCTAACTACGAAATAATATAAATGCAATTATTAGAAACAAAAAAAGCTCCTTGCTTCTTCATCCGTAATTAAGAGTATCTCATTTGATAACTTTTTTCTTCTTTTATCTTCGCTGCCGTTTGTGAAATGTCTTCCTCAGTTAATTTAGCTGATGATGTGCGAGAATACCATGATCCACCAGATCAAGTTCAAGAGAAAATCGATCAATTGATGGAACTTATTCGCGAGTCAAAACATATGGTTATTTTCACCGGAGCTGGTGTGTCAACTAGTGCTGGTTGGTATCGACTTTTTTGCCATCGGAAAGGCATTATTGCTGATGTACTGAATTTTTCTGCAAACGCAATTTATAGGGATCCAGGACTTTCGAGGTACTCTTAATTGTTCAACACGTGATTTGAAAACTTATTTATTAGATATTTGTTTTTTAAAATAAATTAGGACTACATGGTATATGTGAATTGATAATTTTGTTCAATTCTTGCGATGCTTGTTTGACCAACATATTTCACGTGACATATAATATCCATAGGTTATTTGACCCTTGCAAAACAAGGTATCAAATCTACTCTTTCTGATTTTACCAAAATCCGACCTACTGTAGAGCACCTTGCCATATATAAATTATTTGAGGCTGGGCATTTGAAGTATTTAATTTCACAGGTTGTATATTATAAATTTCTTTTTTGATGTAATTACTCGCATATTTTTTTTTTTTTTGAAAATGATTAATTACCTTGAACAGAACACAGATGGGTTTCATCTACGAAGCGGAATTCCCGTTACTTCGATTTCTGAGTTACACGGAAACATCAACATAGAGAAATGTCCGAGATGCGAGAGGTCCTATTGGAGAAAACACAATGTACGCGATAATGAAGTCGAAGTAAAAGAAACCAACGAAAGAACCAGGCGTAATACTTCTCGCCAGTGTGGTTACTGTCATTGTATGTCGATATTTAATCTTAAATACACTATAATAAAGCACGTGCTTATCTTACATTTTCGTTTAAACAGGTGATCTCAAAGAAACTATTATCAACTGTTTTGATCATGCCGAAAGTCCTCATCTTCTTCCTCTTGAAGCAGCTCAAAATCATCTAAAATTATGTGATTTATATATCATCCTTGGCTCTTCACTCACAGTTTATCCTGCAAACTACTTTTCAAAATATGTAAGTTTTTGGCAAAAACCAGTGGTTATTGTCAACCTACAAAAAACTCCAGTCGACAATGTCGCTTCAATACGCATCTTTGCCGAAATCAAAGATGTTCTTATCCGTTTATGCCAAGGACTTCAATTGAACTTAAATACTGGAGTCACAGATTTGGAAACAGATCTAACCTTTAAGGAAATGATCATTATGCCATATGCAATTCGAAAACTTGATTGTATTAAAGAAAGATCTGATAACTTGAGAAAGAAGTCTGAAGCCGAATTGTTGAGGTTTTTGAATGAAAGAAGGATCACTTATGAATTTCCGGCTGACGTTAAAATTAGGAAAGATCATCTAGTGGCTACTGTCGTTAGGCATTGTAGGAAAACTATCTACTGGGTATGATCTAAAGGAATTTGATTTGTAGTTTTACACATTTGGTGTTAGACATGTTCTATTTCATATTTTGCGTTTTTACTTATTGATTATATGAATGGTATGCGTGGCATATAAAGAATATTTAGAATCTATTAATAATTAATGAATTCAATAGATTTAATATTGTCAAGAAATATAAATATAATATAATTTTTCCATTTTAAAAATTTATTATATTTGGTGTTGGTATTGTAAAAAAAAAGGCAATTATGTTTTATTTAATATTGCTTTAATTAATACGCAATTTTTTTTTTTTTTTTAATTTGTAATCATGCTATCATTATTGAGATATTTCTACAATATTTAATAGATTATTTACAAGATAGTTAACTTGTTATTGTATATATATTATTAGTTGAAGAATTATACTATGAAAAGTCTAATAAACTAGTTTGAATTAAACAAAACAAAGTCTAAACTAGATATCCTAAATCAGATTAAGGAACTTTTCTATTATAATATTAATCTATATTTATTAAAATTATTGATAACAATGTGTTAATATAAATTATTTTGAAACAAGAATAAAAAACTTTTTTTACTAATCTCTTAATAATATATAAAAAAGATATTCACAAGAAGTTTTTTTACTTCTTTGCTAATAAATTATTAAAACAACTTGAAATATAACTTCAAGAGTCATTTTTACCTTTTTTCTTTTATTTATAAAATTTTTACTTAAAAACTTAACTTCAATAATCAAGAAAAGTCAATCAACACCTTTAATTTTAATAACAAAAATATTTTCAAAAGAAGAAAAACTGATTGTAAAATATTTAAAGATTTTTTTTTTTGCAATAAAAAGATTTATTATTTTCTTTTTAACTGTTTTAATTTTTTTAAAACTTTTATTTTTATGGTTTTTTAAGGAATTTTATTTATTCCAATTTAATCTTGAATTTAGATAATATAAATCCTTATTAAAAGTAATTAACTAATATAAAACATACTAATTTATAGAATGTAAATAAACTTCTATTATTATTATTATTTTATTTATTTTTTTTTTTTTAACCTGCAATCATGTCGCAATGGTGTGTCTTTATTAAGATATTGAGAAATACCTAAATAATTTACAGACTTTCACATAGCGACTAACTCGTCGTTGTACATTATTAGTTAAAGGACTACACTACTTAAA